GGAAAGGGACAAATATGTATGGTACCCAAATGAGAAACTAAAAGGTTTCCCATTGATGTTCCTAACGCGAGAAATCACTGCCAGGTTTCCATCCAATGCCAGAGACACTCGAACCCGAAGTTCAAAACTGAGTAAACAAGAGAATTTTTCATCAGAAAAATAGAATAAGCAGCTCAAAAGTTACAAAGCTCCAAAGCATTCAAGTTCTTACGCATGAGGCCAACATTTTGGTTCTTCATCGCCCGGTTTGAGTAACAAGTCAACGAAGGATTTACCACGGATATCAAAATTTAGCAAAGGCGGGGCATCATCATCAATGGTCCAAATTTTGTTCCTGGCAAATCCTTGTTGTTCAAGTGAACTGCAGCTTCCAAACTGAAAACATCATCATTTAGATACATGAGTCGATGATTTGTAGTTGAAAATTTCCGGCAAATATATACAATAAGCAGCAGCCTGCAGTTTACCTGGGGGAAGCAAATAGAAATTCCTCCACGCATCGCTTTTGGGGACTTAAAAATGGCCTATAAAAGATTTAAAGCCTTATAGACAGGGTGTAGTTCAAAATTAACCAGAAAAGGAGGAAAGTTCAACAAAATTTTAATAAGCATATATGAGAACCCAAGGATCTCTCTCAATTATCGTGAACTTGATTTAAAAAAAAATCTTTTACAAAACTTTGAGCAGATAGAAAAGTTGACTAAATTTATTGCAAACAATGATATGTCTACAAAATATTAAAATGGAACTGGTTTCAAATGAAAGCACAATCGTAATGGAAATTTTCTGTAAGTTTGAAGTCGACATTAGTCTATTATCTTCTATGGAAGACAATCAATATTCTGTAGGTACGTAATTATCTTGACTATAGTTTATTTTTTCAAAAATTCGTTAAGTATATCAGGAATTCAAGTAAGATCTAAGCTACTAAAGTTTAAATACGGGATCACCAAAATAGGATTTAGTCTATAGAACAATTTCACAGATCTCAAAATTAACAAGTACAGAATATTATGTAAGTCCTGCTTATGGGAAGTAGATGGCGCTTACTCTACAATGGCAGGAGGCATCATTTAATATAAACATAAGCCTAGTATAATCAAATTTTGCGTTAGAATGTTGCTGTAAGAAACTCGTGGAATTAATTTTACTGTTGCTCGATGCCATTAAATTCATAATGATAGTCCGACTGTTCAAACTTCATATCCTACTGGGATATTATCCATGTTTTTATCCTCGATTCCTCCCCCAAATACTTCCATGTTTTCTACGGTGAATACGTAAAAATTTGAGTACTCAAGTATTTACATCTTTAGCAACTTGAACCTCGTAAGGATGTCAACAACATCAATTATTAACCAAGAACCAAAATCACACCTTACTGCTGGAGAATAGAAGTTCTTCGCCTAGATCATTCCGCCACGAGATCACCTGTCCTCCGTGCAAACTAATCTGTATAATCATTTTAACTTGTATTCAATATGAACATCAATGAGGTAAATAGGGGAACATAAAAAAATAAAAAAAATAAAAAATAAATGTATAAAAAGGGATCAATCATGGGATCTTACCCGTGCAGATGCCCCCTGAGGATTTCGAAGCACCACCTGATCGATCCCATTCCAGTCCTTTGTCACTTCGATTGCTGCTCTATGGTCCCAAACTGCTGCAGAATGCCCCATTCTTTTTCAATACAGAACACCAAAACGCAATTCGTTTTTCCTCTCAATCTCCAAAATAACTTTTAAATCCTAATAAAATTCTTCAAATTAGAATAATCTCAATAAGAAGACACATGACAGTACGACAGCTAATTCATCTGAAATAACGCAAAAACCTTTCTTGCAAAAACTTTGTCGGGACACGATTCAAATTTATTAAAACCACGGAACAGTTATTGTTTCCTACATTACCCTTATCATCATACTCCCACAGATTCAGGTGAAAATCTTGACTTGGAAGTTTATGAAAATACGTCATAGTTTACATTTCCAAATTTGCCTAGAGATGTCTACAAAATGTAACATGTGACAATGACATACGAATACTCTTCTTCCTATCTAGATTTAAGGCAAAAAAGTCGGCTATAACTCACCGAAAGTCTACTAAAAGGCATCGTTTCCGCATTTAGATAAGAAAACTACAAATGAGATGATATAGAAAAAAGACTTGCAAACATATATAAAGAGAAATTCAAATTCACCTCTTCAAATTTTCAACGAAATACTTCCAGAAAACCTAAAAAATTCTTCACAACAACAAAATTAAAAAACCCAGTTTCCAAATCTGAATCTAGGAACCAGGAAATCTTGCGGAGAGTAAATAAATCTCAGTATATTCAAGAAAATACTTTGTATTTTCTATAATTTTCAAAATGAACTCAAATTCACCCCCAACACCACGTCAAGGTTAACTATTCCACAAAATTTGGAACTTTGAAATGAAGCATTTAAATTCAAGAGTGCCCATTTAAGTAAACAATAAAAAACGTATTAAATTAAGAAAAATGCAATAAAATGTCAACTTTATACAATGCATTAGTGTGCAACGAAGTTAATAAAGGATTTAATTAACTGTGATGAAGATTCAGATTTCAGGGAGGACTGATACCTGGGCCAGGAAGCAAGAATATGGGAAGATGGGATGGCCAGAATTAAATATGAAATAATTATAAGTAAAAATGGGCTTAAAATAATTATTTTTGAATGTGGGTAAAGATAAAGATACGTGAATTACATGTCATTGTACAATGCGTTGAGTAGGAATGTTAAGTATTCACGTGGGTGCACAAAAGTACATGCTTGCAAAATAAATCACGATAATGGATGATTGTTGATAATTTAAATCCATACAATGTTATATGATTGAATTTTGAAATTGGAATAAATAATATGAAAGAAAAATGTCATATGATTGAATTCTAGATTTGATTTTACAATTTAAAGAAAAATGATTCACGACATAGGTTTGAAATTTGAATAAAATGGTATAATTTGAATACTGACTTTAAAAATGAGTAACTGTCTTCTTTGCCTAATCATTGCACATGAGAGCATACCGCTAATGCAAAGTAGAAAGTCGATGATTGAGATTTCGAGAAGTGGATCCCATTTATACATATATTTCTAAATTTTCATTTTGGAATGATAAAAAATCGAGGAGAAAAAGTTAAAAACTATAAATAAGTGATGAAATATTTGGTGCAAGACTTGATATGATTAGACGAGATTATCAAATTATAAAAATATTTGTCCATTTGGTGACCATGAGAATCACAATTTTTATTAACTTTGTAATCATAAACTTCTTTAATTTTTATCAAAATTTATTAAAAATTTAATAATTAAATACACGAACTTAATCTTTTATATAACTTAACGCATCAAATATATGGTAAAGTTTTTAAAATAGAAAGATATTATCACACAAACAATATATTTCTTCCACGTTTCTTCTAAAGATTGTAGTTTTTTGTATTTATGTATGAGTTTGTCAACGCGTGTATTTTTGTAGTAATTTAGCTTAATCAAGAAAATCAATTACCAAGTAATAGAGGTGGAAACTTTGAATCACGTGTCAAAAAGACACCACCAAGTTGGTTATTTGCGAGTCACGTAAATTGAGGAGTACCATGTGGTTACTGTTTTGACTTCAGGGAACCAAGTCAAGGGTGTGGTAAAAGGTACACATTAGCCCACGTTTGGCCCCATTTTATGAAAATAAAAATGGAAGGAATAATATTTTTTTGAAAAATAAGTAGTTGAAATTTTTTTTTTCGATTTACGTGTAATATTATTTTATGAAAAATTGTGTGATTAAAAATAGGAGAGAGAAAAATAAAATATAGTAGAATATAATTTAATGGGGATCAAACAGGGGCTAATTGTTTATTTCACCTTAAACGGTGGATACCAGATTGGGTTGGAAGGAATATTGAATAAATGAAAGAGTAATGTTATTCATAGTGAAGATTGTCAATAGTCGCCTTATGTGACATACACTTGACAATTCGGTATTTGATACATAGATATGGTAGTTATTTTTTGAATTATACATCAAATGAAAAACTGATAAGTATACGCCACATAGGACGACTGCCGATAGTCTTCACTGCAAATAACATTATTCTAAATAAAAAGGACGAGACTTCCAAGTTCTAACGTGTAAATTTTCAACGAAATTGCTTTTGAGTTACCCATCTTTAATTTTGTGCAATCTAACTACTAAACTTTGATTTTGGTTCAACCAAAGATACAATTCACACATTCGAGGCTCAATTAGTTCACCCATAGATATAAAGAAAGGTGTGGCGTTGATAGGTGCTCTTCGGGATCAAAACGATTATGGATGGAAATTCGCATTCGAAAAGGAAACCCTCCAAAGAAGAAATCTTAAAGGATTGAAGGCATATCCGACACGTCTGAAAGACTATTGTGGTGGTCAACCCATCCTTTTGCTTTAGTTTCATCACTTTACCTACTTTTATTGCTTTGAGTTGGCATTGTTGTATTTACAATTTAGTTGTCTTTGAAGCCTAAATTACTCAACAAATAGTCAAAGACTTGACAAAACACACTGAACTTTACATTAGAGAGAGAAATTATTCGTATTCAATAATCTAAATAATGGGAACAAAGGTTTATTTGGCAAAATTGATATTATATACACACTTCTATTTAACAAAATTGCAAACAAAATCCAATAACTCCTCAACCTCCTCACCTTCCTTTTCTCGATCATCAACCTTTAATCTTTGAAATAAATAAATTGTATTTAGATTTCGTTTAGCATGACGATTTTGAAGAATTTTTGAAATAGTGCTTTTACTAGTATAACTATTTCTAAAGGAATTGATCCATAATAAATAGGGATGACAATGAGGGCGGGTATGAGATGGATGGGTCATTTCCACCCCCGTCTTGTTGGGTATCTTTGTTATCTTACTCCATACCTATACATGGTTGGATTTTACTCCTTGCACTGTGCACAGGGCCTGAGACATGGGGTGGACCCCACACATTTGTGGGGTCCACCCCATGTCTCAAGCCCTGTGCACAAGGCCCTGTGCAAATAGCACATCCCTACCCGGTTAAATCGAGACGGGGCATGTTGGGAACGGGACGATTTTATTTTTTCTTTTTCTTTTTTATGTCCTTAATTAGTAAATAATATTACTTTTTTACCAATCTGTTAAAAATAACTTACGTTTTCTTTAAAAAAATGATAAATATATTATTTTTGTTTGATAAAAACTTAAATTTGAAATTAATATTAAACGAGACGTGTAATAGGACGGGAACTATATTTTTCGTACATGTTCCATACCCGCTTCGGGGCAATAACCCCCACCTACCAATCCCATGTACTCGATTAGACAGGTATCATCCATCCCATTCGGGATAGGGCTCCACAGGTATCAGGTTCAACGAATTTTTTTGCCATTCCTAATAATAGACTTGTTGTAAACAATAAATTGATTTTTAGTAGTAAACTCAAAAAGTGTGTTCATTTATTTAAAATGCTTTAAAATATAACAAATGAAACATCATAAAAACATATAAAGTTCCATAATAATTTCTTGTGTTATCTTAAATTTCATTTTTAAAATATAGTATAACACCTAAAAATATGAAAAATAACAATAATGTACATATATATTGACGAGTAAGAAAGTTTAAATTTATTCGGTATATTTCTAAATTAATAAGCATAACTGTCAACTTAAAAAGTTTCATAATATACACACACTTTGGTATCAAATTAAACAGATTGGGTGACATACCACCATTGATCAAGAATCCAAGTTTTTGAAATGTATCATGGTTATCCATATTGTTCATTTGAATGCCTACTTATTCAAACAACTAACTGCAGAATTGATCGTTCGACCTTTCCATGTAGATCTCAAACCTATGAATGGGAATAAATTCAGTAGATGGAACCACATAGCAGTTTTCACACAACCAGTAGAATCACATAATGGCAGAAAATGTGCAAATGTGCTTTTACTTGCAGAAATATCTTTTCAGTAAGTTTAGAGGCTCTTTAACCATAACACAAACCACATATACTTCCACAACATTTTCTAAACATAGTTCCTATTTCTCACCAGTATACATTACCTATTTGTAGCCATCCCATCCCTCTAAACTATATAAACTCATATTCGCTCTCGGTTTTTGCAATGGCTGCTACTATTCTGCAGGCTATGGAGCAATACCCAGTTGTCGCTGATACCTTGTTCTCGGTTAAAGTGGAAACTATCTTATATTCTATTAATTAGCAGTAATTTCAGGCTTCTAATTTATGCCAAAATTACAAGATCAACTAAGGGTTCAGTGGTTAGAATTACAGGTTTGAAGATCAACGAGCAGCCACAGCATCGGCCCTGGGGCTTGTATCGAGAAGTTGGTGAAGCTTTCCTCTGGGGCTCTTTTTCTCGTATGCGTCATTTTCCTCATCCTTTTTTTCAACAGAACCAGAGTTGTTAACTCTTGCCAATAGGTTTACTGTGCCAATCGGTTTCATCCTCGAGTCATCAATCCCAAATAGACTCGTCTCATCTGATTGTCCGAGTTGCAGTTTCTCCTGTAAACATTAATAATTTTTTCAGCTCGTGGATATTACTAATTGTAGAAAGAGAGTAAACAGAATCGCATCAACAAGGTCATACCATTAATGTAGCATTTTCAAGCTTCAGTTTCTTTGAACTCTCCATTAATTTATTTAACTCAGATTTAAGAGTCACATTCTCAGACGTCAGTGATTGGACTCTCATAGATAGTTCTTCAGTTTCGGCCTGGACGAGAAGAGTCAAAATACTATTTAAGGAAAAAGCTTTTCAGGTTGACACAAAATAAGCTTTTAAGTAACAGATTTGACGATGCAATAGTATCATATGGTCCAAGGAACAGTCGATGACATGACATGTACTTCTCGAGTCATATCCATACCTGTTTCCTCAGTCGAGATCTTTTTGCAGATTCCCTATTAGACTGTTTCCTCCTCTCCCGTTTCAGCTCTCGCTCATTCTGCACAAAACAATAATGCACATCAGGAATACCGTATCATCAGGGCATACCAAAATTCACAGGATTAGATTGTGGAAGCCACATTGAGTTCGCTCATGCTTCTAGATTTCAACGTGGCTATTACTAGTGTTCTTATTAGTGAAAAAGTGACAGCATGGAGGAAATGCATGAGGAAAACACGTTCATAATGTACCTGCACCCAGGATTCATTTAGCGTCGGAGGACAAGATTGTGGAACAATAGTTGATCTGGGATTCACATTTGTGTTAGAAGTATTTTTCAGTTCCAATGCTGTAGACGCGTTCCCTATCAATTGTTCAGATGTATTAACAGCAGGCACAATCACATCCATGGTTTCATCAGAACTTCGACCAACTTCTGTGCTGGAAATCATACTGTTTTGTGTCTGAATCTTTCCATCTTCTGCTTTCAGAATATTAATGCATCAGTAATTGAGCTACTTCCTAACCTATCAAGCTTAAACTGGTTAAAAGTAAGTTCTGGAGATGAAGTGTGGTGTATTTAGTCATAAAATTTTTTTGAGACTATCCAGAATGCTTGCATCATCGACAGATGATTCCTTTCGACAGAAATACACTTGATTAAGGACTAAAACAAGAAAGCAATAACAGATGTAAAGACTAAAAGCATGCTTGGCCATACTTAAAAAGCTATTTATTTTAAAAGTAACTCTTACCTTAGTCTCAAAATATAAATTCCTTATATTTAACTTTGACCAAAAAAATTTTTATATTGAAATTAATTATTTAGTTATAAGTTTAGCCAAACATGCAACTACTACTAAGGAAAACCTCACGTGCCTGTCAAAAACTACCATGTAATACACACATGCAGAAAATAACGTACACACTTTTGCATGTTAGTCATATGTTCTTCTCACAATTGTTCAAGATAGCCATGCATCCAAAATGAAAATAATGTTTATACTAGAATATGTCCTGGATACAGACATCAAGGCACGAGGAAAAAGGAAAGATCATAAAAAAGGACAGTTTGACTAAGAAAAAAAGCTTACTGTTGATAGGACTTCCATCCCGGCTTCTTTTCTTTCCATTCTGACCCGCCTAGAAAATGATGCAAGAATAACGAGATGATACTCTTCAAACTGACACAAACAAAATCAACGTAATATTCTTGATAATTCTATATAATATAAGAAAAACTTACCCCAGCTGTAATTCCATTGCTATCATCACTAGAACCTTCAGTCTCCTCACTGTTCAGGAAGCATGAAATGTTACTCAGTTCAGAATATCTAAATAAGCAAAACCAGTAACTTATAATTTCTAGTTAGTTTAAGAGCGTGTTTGGCCAAGCCTAGAAAAAGTCAAAATACATAAATGTAACTTCTAAGCTTCGCCAAACACATCTAACATAAAACTAAAATTTAAATACAAGCAACACCGCTGCCATTATATGTCCACAAACCTCTGTGAAACTTTCTGATCAACTTGACCTTCAGCGCTTTCAGTGTGGCCATTGCCTATTGAGAATGCAAGCCCATCAAATTCTTTCAATTTCTTCACCATGCCTCCATCCGTATTACCCGATGACTTGGCCTGTGTGTCTGTGCTGAAAGAACCTGCCTACATGACCGCATAGTCATTAAATTACATCCCATTCCTAACAGTTATACTCCTAAATGGTAATGTACAACTCCGCAGCTCTTATTACTAAAATGTGCAAATATGGAAAAATCAAAGCAACTAAAGGTTATATTATTATTATGCTGGGACTAAACTCTAATCCTTTCATTGAGAGGTAACAATCAAAACAAGCAGAGCAGGAACAAACTTAAGAGTTGCTCAACTAGCTGCTGCAGGTTTTCACTATAATGAGGAGCAGCCATTATAATTAAGCTCCATATAGTCCAACATATTATTATTCTAGGGTTTTGCTTACAGCAAATAGTAGTGGAACACTCCACACAACATGGGAATCTTTTAATGAAGATTAAAAAGTAATAGGAAAACAATGATACATATAAGCGGAACTATTTTACAATTACAATAGCATTTAGACCACATAACTGACTTGGTAGAGGCTCCTTCGGAGCAAGGTGTTCAGATACAGTCCCTTCACAGATATCAGGATCTTATTAAGTCACATGCTGAAGTCCAAGAAACGTAAAACTTACTAAGTGAACGCCGGGATGTGTATAAACTCCTCCATGAGCATAGAATGCCGCATATGGAGCCCCATAAGGACGCAACATAGACTGAAACATAAAGGTTTGAATGTTAATACAAACAGTTCCTCAGGAAATTGCTTCAAATGATGATAAGCGGAAACTGCATCCCCACAAAAAGAAAATATAAATATATAATCATGTGTTTATGTGTGTTCCTTCATGTCAGCAGTTTGGGAAATACCTGTGGGGGTAGTCCCATCATATACATAGGTGGAGCATGACCAGCAGCAACAGCAGAGTTAAAATATGGCGGCACTGCCAATCGGGGACCATAGCATGCCTGAAGATTAAACTATATAATAATTAGCATCCTGTCGCTCAAATTTACGATAAAATGTAATATAATTTAAGGGGCATTTTTAAGAATGTCCAATTTTAAGGGCATGAGTTGAAAAATGTCCACTCATTTGAATTTAATGTCAACTTCTCTATTATGCCCTTAATGAAAAGCTACATTTTGAAATGGTATTCTCGACATTTTAAATATCGTTCTCGACATTTAATTTTTTTATCAATTTGTCATGAATTTTAAGAAGTGGCTTCCATGAGAAGTTACATTAAAATAATGTTTCTCGATATTTCATATGTCATTCTCGACATTTGAACACCGTTTCATTTTGAACATGACATTTCTCTACATTTAAAAATGTCGTTCTCGACATTTCCGAATCAATGAATAACATAGCATTTATTGTGATTTGACATGTATACTTCTTGAAATAAATATGACAGGTTATGTGTCAAAATTTTATTGGCCAATAACAATATTGCAAAAATGTCCATTTTTTTGTCTTAGTGTGGAATTATAAATTGTTAATAAGGGTATTTTGGTCTAAATTCTTCCAAATTAGACATTTTTGCAATGGTGGACAATTTTGCAAATGACTGGATAAAAATGGACATTTTGTGAAATTTCCTCATAATTTAATTTACTCTAGATTATAACAAAGCGCGTGGATATAGACAAATAACCTGCATAGTCGCCCAATCAGGGTACACATGAACATTACTCTGGTCCTGTCAAGGAGAAAACGATTTTACACCTACTCAGAAATGGACTTCAACTGATGATGTAAAGGAAACAAAGGCTGAAGGACAAAAAACAATAAAATGATATTGTGCTCAAAAGTGAGACTAAGATCTTGCAAGATGAGAGAAGTCCGGGAGGACCCGCACATCTACTTTTATGAAGGATGTGCATAAGTTCTAGATTATTGAAACTATTATTCAAGGCTTACCATTGCAGGTGAAGATGATTTCTCGGGCTTAACAGACTTCCTTTCCTCACTGTTTCCCATGATAGCGAGACAACCTAATCAAATGACGACACAAGAAAATCCTTTTGATCTTTCAGCAAGACGGAAAAAATACACAAAATATAGTCAAAACCAAAGAAGAGTAATCAAACGGTATCCAAGCATATTGCAACTGATAGCTAAAGATGAATAACGCAAAAATTAGGAAAGAATGTCCTTCAGAAACCCAGTATATAACTAATAGAAAAACGATGGCAGAAAAGAAAAGCGGCATATATGTCCTCCTTGAACATAGTTAAGTTTCTTGACCCTATAAGATGAAAAGCATGAAACTTCACTTTATTTCTGCTAAACCATGCAGATACATCAATGGCATGTTGGGTAAGGGATTGATAGAACTCAACTGTAGTGAGGTAGAAAAAGAAGCTAAAAATCTTAATGACACCTCTCATTATCATGACTAGTCCATTACTTCATACTGAACATGCACTTAATGGCAACTCTCATTATTATGTCATCTCTCATTATCACTACACCTCTATTACATCATACAGAATCCGCATTTAATGACACATACTATGTACCTCTTGCTTCTGAATAATTTTCCAAGGTTTTCTTCTCGTTATCAAATAAACTGAAAGAATTCTTGGTGCAAAATCCACAGGGAAAATTGTCGTCCTTGCTCCAGATATGACTTTTACGGTCTTAAACTATGTTAACAACTATATCTAGGTTTTCTTGATCAATTAGAAAAACAGTCGTCTTGATTAGTTTACAGTGATATAAAGGATTTCAATTCCACATTGCAATCAATTGCGCATAGGACTCAGAATTTGATGCCAGAAAACTTAAAATTTATAAACACTTCAGATCTAATTAATAAATGACTGTATTTCATCAAAATTAGATGCCTCCATTAGGATAATTACACTGATCAAAAGCAATAATTCTTAGGTCTACACAGTGAGGACATTATTGTCCTTTCATATCCCACCTACTCTGATACTTCGGCGTAGAATCTAGTAAGGGTCCATTTGATAGCAAAGGTGGAAAAGGCAAACCAATTAAATGTAAGTTGGAAAAGAAAAAACCACAATTCAATTTTTGGCCAAAGATATGCTTTAAGTGTTTGTACTTGGAATTTAACTCTATTTTCACTTTCGTATCAAACAGAACGAATTTATCGGATGAGACATTTTTCATAGAATTTAATGCTATGAAACCGGCCCTAGCTGTTTTCCATCCAAAACAGACTAGACTATAATGACAAATTTACCTCGTCATCTACATGAAGTTTAAAAAATGTTTAATTAAAAAGAATGCTTAATCTCAAAGCTTGACTGCAATTCATCCGTTTCACATCAAAACACTTCAAAAATTTATATACTCTGAGTGGGTTACACATTCAACTTAACAAAAATTAAAAACGAAAATCAAATATCCAGAAAAAGAGAAATTATCTACAAACAAACAACTTAATCACACGAAATAAAGAAAATTCACAATGATCAGCAGGAAACACCACCCAAATTCAGGTATTTTAAACCTTACTACGAAATATTTCCACTTCGCTTCACCGAGAATTTCAAAAATCCATAAAAAAGTCTCCAACCAAAAATAAAACCAGTTTCTGAATTTCCAAACTTCTAAACTCCTTGCATTTCTCTTTTTCTCTCTAGAAAAACAAAAACACGCACAAAGAGCACAACAGTGTTTTTTTTCCCTCTTCTCTGATATTTTAGAGAGAGAAGAAGAAGAAAGAAAGAAAGAAGAGCGCCAAGGCAAATACCCACGTCACCCAACACGTGTCCACGTATGAAAAAAAAGGCGCATTTACACACATACTTTTGTATGTATATATGCGATCAGGCGTGGGGTGGGGACGCGTGAGCTGGCTCATTGAATTCGCGCTGGAGGAAATTTTTATAATAACGTCATCGTTTACCGTACACGTGTCCCTTATCTACTCGATCTCTGTGGGTGGTCAAATAGGCAAACTAATACCAACAGCAATAAATCTTCTTGGACAGGTGGCTGGCGTGGTCATTTTGGGAAAAATAAATGTTTTTGTTCTTTTGGCAAAGATTAAATGGAAATTAATTTGGCATTTCAAATCCGGAATGGACCCACATGCACTTCAATTTTAGGTTTTTGCTTCAACTATATTTTTGTATAATTAAATTATACTTTAGAAAATGTTTGCATTCCCATCCTATGCCCTCCAAGATTTTGCTATACTAATATAGGGATTGACATAAGGAATGATCAAACACATATATAAGGAGGTCGACATTTTTAAATTCACGCAGGATCCACGCACAAAATGTGAGTATCGATCAACCGTTATGTCAATCAATCGATCACTTTAGCTTAATTCTATCCTATATATCGATGATTAGAATTGAACTTGATGGTCGCAAGACTTAAATTTCCTAACATCTTCGATCATCAAAAAGTTAAAAAATAAAAATAAAAAAAATCCGACCTTATGGAGGTGAATACATTCACATATGACACACTTCAATTCAATAAAAAAAGGACCTTTATTGAGGTGAATAAAAATTAATTATCGTTCTATTCAATCTTATATGAGTTAATCGACATACAAGTAATATCTCAAGGCGAAAATTGGCAGGTTGTAACTTCATCTTTGTAGTAAAGAAAGTTCTGTTCAGTAGTGATTACGAGAATTGATTTTTTAACCATTAAAGAGAAAAATAGATCTCATCTGTGAATGAAGAAGTAAAAAATAACAATTGAAATAGTGAAATAATAATAAAAAAATCGAACTTTTTGTGTAAAAAATCACTATCAAACGTAGGCTTAATTACATTAGTCAAGACTACATAAATTTTGTTAAAAGTCAATAATTTTGACGGTCAGAACCATTGAGATCAGGTTGTGGGCACACCAAATTTCACTATCTGCGTGGACACATGTCAACCCAGCTCCTCATCAACTTTAGAACTAAGAAAACAAATTATTCCCTCATTTTAATTCAGTTGATGAAAGAATACATGTTTAGGAGCTGTCCATTACCAACCATCGGTCAGGGATACTTGGAGTCGGGACAGGATAGATTAAAAAAATCACCATTTAACATTTTGTATAAATAAATAATTATATTTAATTTTAAAATATAATACCAAACGAAAATTATAAAATAAAATAAAAAGAATCTAGAGAGGTTCCAAAAATTCGAAATGGAACAATGAGGAGTTAAGACAAATGTGTGGCCGTGCTATACATTACATAGATAACAAGGCGTGCAAGATTGTGTAATATTAGTCGATGATATTGAAGTGATTACGACGTGTTTCACTTTACCTTAATGTAAAAAATTGAAATAAAAGGTAGATTAAAAGTAACACGGCAAGCTGTGGTCACAAATATACAATTATGTTGTTATGTTTTCTACATGAGAACAAAATATGCTTTTCATCAGTCAAACCCCTAAATCCGAGATGCTTATCCAACGCTTCAGAATTTGCCACGTTAATGATGAAGCAATAGCATTCGCATCATCTGCAAATCCGTGTTAAAAATCCAATTAGTACCTGAAGTTTATGTTACCTTTCTATTCGGTACTTAAAGCTTTCAATTGTTTCAAATGCATCACTAAATCGACTCCTTTCGCTTGAAACTTGAAGAAAAATTTCCATTCTGATAAATTAAAATGAACCCTAATTCTAATTTTGGACTAAAATTGGGGGGTGGAATAAAAACGAGACATACTTGAAAAATTTGGACATCGAGATGGGTTTTAGAAATAAGAGAAACAAGATTTCTATTAATTTGGTGGAAGCATTGGTGCAAGTAGACGGTATTGAAGAAATAACTTTGTTAGGTACTCAAATCGTTAGCTGTTTTTGAGGTGGATTTAGTGATGGTTGGGAAAAATTGTCTGAAGTTTGGTGACATATTTAAAACCATTCGAAAGCTTGTGCACTAAATAAAAAATTAGATGTAAAGTTTGGTTAGTGTTCATAATTGTTCTTAAAGTCTGACGTGTCCCACGTATAACTGTTCAATGCAGGCGGGTCCGACCTTTAGTTAGTGGCCTATTCTCCACGCGTCACACGTGTGTTGAATTTTATTGGTTTATTTTGGTGCACTTTTTTAAAATGGGGAGTGACGTCAACGAATGGATTAGCACGTCATCTAGTTATTAGCCGTCTGATTGATTACGTATCGGACGGATATAAAGCAATAGTCGGTGGAAATGGAAAGGGACAAAGGGACATGGTCCGACTGACGTGGAGGATTTCATGTTAGAAATATTGTTGTTCAAAATCATATATTATTATTAGGTGGATTTGATATTGGGCCCTAATTGGGCCAAATGTGTGAATGAATTGAGGAAGGACAAAATTGGGACTTTGGTTTTGCCTATTAGATCGCATGGGCCACTCTACTGAAAATCGAAGCAAATTTAGTTAGATCAAGCGATCGCAATATTAACTACCATACGATCGCATGGCATAAAAACATTGTTGAGTTGATTTTCAAGTTAGAAATCTGGTGACTTTTGGATGAAAAGTTCCATCTCTTTCATGTGTTGATTGAAAACTATAAATAGAGGATATTTTTCATCTCTAAATCGGTGAAAAACATACAATTATTCCACATATTCAAAGAGAGATTGTCAAATTTGTTTACGTATTCATTTCAAAGTTTTCATTTGTTCATATTAAAGAAATTCTTGTGCTTTGGTGTTCTTTATTAGGCTTGATTAATCATTCGTACCATTTGACGTTTAAATCCTTAAATGCATTTGAAGATGATGCAAATATCGTTTGAGAACAACGTTCTTAAACATGTTCAAGTCTTGCAAATACGTTTATTTGATATTTCCATCTTCGTTCTATTTTACACTCCATTGTTGTTAGTTCAAACAATTTCAAACGATAGTCCTTCGACGATAGAGACAGAAACTACACTTGCAATCATCAAACTGATAAACCTAGACTTGATTTGTCTGGATAAGTTCGATGGAACAAACTTCACTTGATGGCTGGACAAACTCAAGTTCCTTCTGGTGGCTTTAAAAATCTTGTATGTGCTTGATCCGAGTTTGGAGCCGATTGTTGAAGCAACCAATGAAGATTTCGAATAAGTACAGACCGAAGGAAAAAAAAAAGACAAGAGGACAAATTAATTTGTCGCTTTCACATTCTTAAAGCCCTCTCTAATCATTTGTATGATCTTTCAACCACACCACTTCGACAAAGGAAATTTAGGAAACACTTGATAACAAATACAAAGTTGAGGTGGAAAGTACTGATAAATTTTTAATTTCAAAATTTTTTAACTCTAAAATGTTAGATAACATTCACTTGTTGCCTTGAGTATACAAACTTCAAGTGATGGTCAATAAATTGAAGACGGTGAATATCGTGGACAATGTTGATTACTCCAACAAATACAAAAAGAAGGGGAAGCCTCTTGATTTTAGGTCAACACACACACCACTATTCTTTCAACGAATACAGTTTCTGGTTTCTTTGAATTATGCTACTTATAAATAAAAATAACACATAAATGATTACATAAAATAATGTCGAAAAAAGATCGGATGAAAAAATTGACTGCATTTCAAATTGATAAATGATGTTATTACATGTGGTACTAAGTAACTCATTATATAAAGTTTGATATACATGTAACAAGGTCCATCCTCTATACAACAAGAATTTCTTTTCCTTCTTTTTTATCCTTTCATTATTTTTTATTCTTCTTTACAAAAATTATTTCGGCAAGGAAAATGGACGTAGATTGTAAAACACCGTAATTCTGAATCTCTGACTAATTTCTCCATAAACACTCCATTTGATTGTTCCATATTTCTACAATTGTTGTTAACTACATTTAGAAAAATCACTTGTAATGCATCAAATCCTCACGGAACTCTCTCTTTCATATGGCAATCAATTATCATATGAAAATTTTCAGTTAAACAACGAAATTATAAATTATAAATAATTGAGAAATAATAAAAAATTGGAACATTTGTAAATATCAAAACATTTCTAACTCAAATATTCACTGAAATATAAATAACTTTTTATTTGACGAAAAAAGAGAATGATATTTTCCTATTGGAGATCATTTCTTATGTGGTTACTGATTTACAATGTATACTATGAAATAGTTATGGTGTCTATGCTTAACCGGGTTAGTGTTATCATAAAGTGAATGCGTGTAGAAAGTGATAATTGAGCGGTAAAGAAAAGAGTCAAATACGGTAGAGAAATGAGTTCTCAAAAAAGAATAAAAATATTGCTTGAATTATTCGAAAGTGTAATTTTTTTGGATGCATTGTCGAAAGATGTTGTGGAGGAAGAAGACCACGGATGGGAACACAGAGTGGTTGAGTGACAAGGGTATGGGCGTCTGGATTGTATTACTTGTACATAAAAATGGTACATAAAAGATTACATAAAATGATGTGGAGGGAAAATGTTGGATGAAAAAAGTTGACTGTGTTTTAAATTGGCAAAGGATAAAGTAATATGTGACATTATGCAACCCATTATATAAAGTTTGATGTACATGTAGCAAGATTCATGGACGTCTATGTGGTACATTTATTTATTTCAATTAGGTTATGGTTATATTTGTAAAGCGATTGTGCTCTATTTACTTTTCAAAAAACTTTTAGTAAAAGTATGTTTATAATTTTACTTTAATTTTATTAAAGTACTTCTTTCAATTAGAATTAGAAGAACTTTTAAAAGAAATTGATCTAATGTGACTCTTTAAAATCACATTTGAAATAGAAAACTATTTTAAAAAATAAATTTTAAATAAAAATTAAAATAGCTCCTTCCAAAATCTATTATACGGATCGAAACAAGTAGATGTAGCAAATAAATAGAATTGGTCCTATTGATTGAATTTAATTAGTATCAAGAATTCTCTCTTGTTTCGAATTCAAAAATCTCGAGAAAAATCTAGTTACTAAAGATTTCGATAGAAAGAAAGATTTCTTATATAATTTGAATTCGAGATGCTTGATTACTTGTTTTTTTAAACTAAAAAGTGAGCAATTTCTGCCTTGAGGTCTTAAGATTCCTTATAGTAAGTCCGGTTGGCATATTGTTGTATGATACCCAAAATCTTGAGTAATGAATTTTTATCCTGTTCGTCAGATAAAAAATTTATGATGAAAAAATGAAAGCAAAAGCAAATAGTCATATAGACCAGCCCGCCTTTCGTTATATTATGATATTGAGAATTTCTGAAGATAGGGAATGACCAATCAGAAACTTCAGTGTCTCCACGTGTCATCCAATTAAATCACTTGATTCTTGTCCGAAAGAAGGGAAAAAATATTGTGGATAACAAGAATTTGTCAACAAAAATCTTTGCTTTACAACGAAAGGGTATTTCAATCGAGAAATAGAGAAAGTAGAGGGTGAAGGAAGAGGAACGCAAAAGTCGGAACCAAAACCTATACAAAGGCATTATTTGATCAGCTAATCCCAAATGGCAGCGGTGGCAGCTTCCACTTCCACGTCGGCGTCCGCCGCCTTGATGTACCGTCTCACCACCACCAAATCCACCCACTGCTCCGCCTTGCCTCATCTCCCTCCCCGTTTCTCTGCACCAGCCTTTTCCACTTCATTCAAGCACTTTTCAGGTTAGTCATTCCTTACCTTGTTCATATTTGACATTCGTGTTTCTTTTTGTAATTTGTAACCAGACACATAATTGTTTTGGGGTGCTGAGTGGATGAACCTTAATTATTTATGTACTTAGTTGAATCTTGATTGGATTACTGCTATTTGTAGGTTCTTGAATAGATAGATTAACATGATCAAATGTCATAATTGGCTTGAAGAAATTGTCTTCTGTGAGGTGGTGAACCCAAACCAAGAATTCTTTAGGAAAGCAAACACTTCATTTTTATTTTTTTTTAAAATTTTTTTTCTCTGCTTTAAATATCAGTTATTTGGTTATTGAGAAAAGGTTTAGTTTGTTGTTGTATCATTTTGACGTGGTAAATGCATTTGGGAAAATAAAGAGGATTGCGAGAAGGCTGTGATCAGTATAAAAGTTTCTATCTGCATAGTTGGAATTCATATGGTAACTCATAAATCTTGGAAATTTACTACAATGTGGCTGTTCTTGTGCCTCATTTAATAGGTTCTGAAATTGTAAGACCTCATAAGATTGTTGGTACTTGGTACTGTTGAGGTTGTCCCATATCGGTTGTGCATGAGATTGGCATTCAGATTATAATTGTGAGGGAAGTCTTACCTCTTGAGCTAGCTTTTGGGGTGAGAGAAACCAATACAACGCAACACTGGTATCAAAGCCCGGTTTATCAACAAGTCTCCAACCAATAGTTTGCTCCCGTAGGCCCTATTGTGTGAGGGGGAGACGCGTTTGGTTTTCTGCAAAGCCCGATGTTTGAGGGAAGATTGTTTAGGTTGTCCCTCATCGATCGTGAATGGGGTTGGTATTCAGTGAGTTAATTGTTCCAATGGTCAATGAACTTAGGTCAATATCTTTAATTGGTTACTGAAATTTAAAATGTCGAGTTTTGATCACTAAACTTAGGTCAATGTCTTCGATTACTCATTGAACTTAGGTTCATGTCTTAGATTGCTCACTGAAATTTAAAATGTCGAATTTTGATCACAAAACTTTGAAATATGTCGTACATTACTCACTAGTATAACTGTTGAACTTTAAAAAATATCGAATTTACAGCTAGTAATGTACAACATTTTTCAAAATTCAGTGAGAAATGTACAATATTTTTCAAAGTTCGGTGAGTAATATACAACAATTTTCAAAGTTCGGCTGCCAAAACTTGATATTTTAAATTTCAGTGAGTAATGGAAGGTATGGATCTAAGTTCAGTGACTAAAACCCGACATTTTAAACTTCAGTAACCAATAAAAGACATGGACCGAAGTTCAGTGACCATTGGAACAATTAACTCGGATTCGGTTATAAGTGTGAGGGAAAGTTTGGGTTGAGAGAGGCCTAGTACCACCCAACAGGTAAATATTTCATTGTTATACTTCGAGAAAGGCATAAAGGTTAGTTCTTTGATGACTCCTTTCCATTTTCTTCCAATAGTTTGACCTAACCAGACAATTTATTGGCCTATGAGTGGTGGTTCTATCCTTCAGTTGTCTAAAGTTTTGATAGGATTGGGAGGCACTTTGTAGCAAGAGCTTTAACACATTGAGCAAGTTTCCAAGTGTCCTATTGACAAAAGGAAGAAGAGGGGTAAAGATAGAAGAAAGGGGAGAGTTCAAATATCGGAGTTTGGTTTCTAAGAATTTCAAAATTTCAAGGATATTGGCTGCTATGCAAGGTCATTTACTTGATATTTCGGTGCCTATGTTTCTTGGCTTCATTTTTAAACAGAGTCGAAGAGGTCTTCTCTACGTCGGATGAAAGCTTCTTCATCAGATGAGACATCTTCCCCTGTCGATGCTAATGAGTTATTTACAGACATAAAAGAAAAGGTAATTATGTTCTTTGGTTCATTAGATAGTTATCATCAAGAATCCAAGACTTATTCATATATACCTAATTCTGCAGAATTCAATTTTGTTCATGTTCTTGGAGTCGGGATTTAACTGATAATTACGTCTAATTTTTCTTAACTTTCTTTCCGTACTATTTCTCCAGTGGGACGCTGTTGAAAACAAGTCGACTGTACTTATTTATGGAGGTGGTGCAATTGTCGCTGTGTGGCTAGCTTCCGTTGTAGTTGGTGCAATAAACTCAGTTCCTTTGGTAGGTTTTTGGTAAAATGGAACTTTCATTTTTGTATTTAGTTAAATATCATGGGATGATGGATCTTATGTTTGAAAAGTTCGCAATTCATTTTTTATTCTATTTAGCGAAACTAAAATCTTATTTACTTGTCGATGTTTTATTTCAGCTTCCAAAAATCATGGAACTGGTCGGGCTTGGATACACCGGGTGGTTTGTGTACCGTTACCTTCTTTTCAAGGTGCATTTTTCACAATATTCGCTGATGACATTATAAAAAAGAAAAATTCTATTAATAAAAATTAATATCAGTATGAACTCGACAAGAAGCCTCATCTTATAAGATGTAAGGGTTTATAGGAAATGGATGGTCCTATTTGGTCAAATTCCCATTGACAAACTCCTTTCATTACGATAATTTTGACCAAGTTCCCAATTAACATGCCAAAAGGATGTGTGCATATTTATTTCATGCACGTCCTGCATATATGCAGTATTAGATAGTAGTGAACACTAAAGTGTCAAGATTCCTATTTCTCTTCTTCATCAATGCCTGGGTTATGCTGCTGTGTAGATTTCATGTTGCTGATCGTGCTACTGTGATTTTACAGTCTAGTAGAAAAGAACTGGCAACAGATATTGAAGCAATAAAGAAGAAGATTGCTGGAACTGCTGAATAATTTTCTTGCATTCTGGTGCAGATTTCGTTCTCCAGTCGTCCCAACCTTGGACCAAACTTATTTACATATTCTGTAGATCTTCTTGTGATGTAGAATAGGTGTATGCATTTCCATCGCGTTCACTCCTTTCATCTCTGAATAATGCATTCATGCATGCTATAAAGTTGATCGTGTTCATGATTATATTCTCGTTTATCAGCAATTCAGAATTTTGCATTACACTAGTTCTTGTGTTAACCCTTTAAGTCGAAGGCTGTGATCTGCAACTACAAACAATCGGGATCTTTTTGTACTTCACCATGTAATCACCTATTCTGTGTGCCAAGAAAATGCAGCCAAGTAGTGTCAATATGAAGCTAGATATACTTGTGATAGCAGTAAAGGTTTTGTTGGGAGAGAAACCTTTAGTTTCCAAAGTGGTAGTAGAGCCGCTCTTACTTTTTCGAGACTTGGCATTTGGTTGTAGTGTCCACAATGGTGTCTACGGCATGAATGATGGTCAGATTCATATGAGAAAACACAAGTAAATTGGCCTCCACTTGAGGTGTGAGGTGGGAGAGAAGGGATGTCATAATTGGTTTTGAATAAGACGGCCTTTTGATTTTTCATTTTTTTTCATTGAAATAGCAATACAAGAAAAGATCGTTGTCAATTCAGTTGAGGCAACGCCATTTCTCCAACTGCCTACCATCTTAGACATCCAGGTCGAGAACTTAAGCAATACTGTAATTCGACCACGAGGTACAACTAAATGAAAATGGAGCAGCGTGAGTCCAATCAACATCGTGCCTCCAGTATCACTTGAGACTATCTGGGATACTTGTTTAACGGTACTCGACTTCAACTCGATCAAGACACTGTTTCAACTAAGGCCTAGTGGGACTCTGTGGTTTCTTTATCTACTCGGGTGCTGGACATACTCTGCTTAAACAGAGCTCATGAGGTTCCATTTTCAAGTCCACATTTTCTCAATAGTGCAACTTTTAGATAGCATGATTCAAAATGGATTCGTACTAGACAAATTTGAGTTAGTGTCTCGTTGTCAGTCCTTAATGACCTTCACGAGTGTTATAAGTTCGATGTTATAGCATCCATCATCAATTGTCATGCTATCCTGAGTGTTATATATTTTACATCCTCGGATCGCATATTATGAAAATAACACATTTCTATACAATAAGTAATGTAGCGTTTAAAGACACAACTTCTCGTTGATTTTAATGGCAGGAAGACTATCAAGAGAAAACCCCATTCGTTAGAAAGACAATAAATGATATTTACCCCATTTCATAAGAAATATTGAAATTTATCATCTACAGGTTTCCATTTTAAAGGAGCTATTCTAATGTTGAATCACAGCCATTTTTGAAGATTTTGTTATGGCTTTTGCATGATTATTATGCTCATTGATGAACCATGACCAAGCATTCTAGGAATTTTTGAAATTTTCATGTATTCAACAATTAAAAAGTTAAGCATAAATATAAATAAAAATTCCTCGTCATTGAATCCACTGTAGTAGGACATAATTATCCATAGATAGACCACTACACATAACACATAAGATATTCCTCTAAAAATATGGATTGAGACTCTTTGTGGGTATCAGCGTACGGATAGCTCTTGTTCCGTGACCTGTTGGGACACATCCCGCAATTAATCTCTTTCACGATGCTCCAGGGACGGGACGGTGGGAGACCCTTAAGGTTGTGGTTCAACCTGTAAGATATTCCTCTAAATCAAAAACCTTTAGTACTATATAATTTTATGGTAGTGTAGACTTTCTACGTCACCTGCTCCATCGTCCTCCTCATCAAGTCCACCAGCAGTACTTGTTGGGAATCTACTTAACATGCGCAGCGGAAATTTAAAACAAATTTCGATTCCCACCAAGAATCTCTTTATGTTTAGATAAAAATTGTAAAAAAATTGTACCTTTTTCAGATCTGCGAACTTCTTTGCTATTATTTTCGTTCCAGCAATTTTGATTCGCCATACACAGCTGTCCAATTGTTTAGCCTCCAGTGATGATCCACACAGAGAACAGATTGCAACTACCAGAATTTTCTCCTCTTGTGCTAGCAAGAAATTATGAGAAAACTGTATGGATTGAAAACCCTAGCCATGTATTTATATAAGCCCAAATGGGCCTGGTCCAGTCCGGTCCGATATTTAATTAATTTATTTAATTAAATTTGGTCCGTGAATTAATAAATCTAATTAATTAATTCGGGCTTATAAACCCAATTAATTAATTTATCCAACGATTGTTAAATTAATTAATTGACAAATTGCAATCTTTTAATTTTCTTTTGTGTGCGACCCATCAGGTTCCTGATCACAATGCCTAACGACGTGAAATATTATTTTGATCTAATCAAAATTGATAAATTAAAATACCTTTTCAATTTATCACCAATTCACACTCGCCGTCCCAAATTGACATCTAATAATGTGTCAGGACAATACATGTGACGAGAAATGTCATGTGGTATGACAAAACCAAACTCGTTTATTTACCGTGAAACTATAATTCCTTCGTCAATATGATCCGATCAATTACGAGATATGGAAGTTTGTCAATCTCGATCATCGATCATAACTTTCACTCCACTATTAAGTCAATATAAGTCGAAAACTCTTTTTTGACTTATGAGTACACCATAACCGAGGATTTCATTATCGACTTAATTGAATGAAAAGCAGATCATAATCTCTTACTATTAAGAGTGATGAATCTTTAATTGGTCATTCACAACCTTCATATGATTCTTAACATACCCGAACAATGTCGTATTAGCGGCCCTTGACAGACCAACATCCAACACCGTCGAAGCATGACCGTCCTCATATAAGGTACTATGACAATCTCAAGTCAAAATGACCAATCCCACTATCGAACATTAGAGATTAACCACTGACACTCAGATAGTTATCCATGTGGAATCTCTCGACGGGTCTCCAATGTTTTGTTCTATAACAAAACATTCACATGTTCATTTAAGTGTCACAACACTTTAACTTATGAGATCAACTACTTACTTCTCAAGTAAAAAATGCCACACGTGATGGTCTATCCGTAATAACGATATCCGTATCTCGTTATTACTTACGACCACGGACGATTTAAGATTCAATCATATATAATTTGTATCTCACAATCACAACTTCTTGTGATTAACAAATTACGAAGATTTGAATCTACGGACTCAATTATTTATTTAATTGTCTATTAATTAAATAATAGATCTGTCATTAAATTGCATTAATTATATATCAAAAGTATTTATGTTCAAGGTTGATTGGACCTAAGGCATAACACTTACAATACCCTCATTAAGCCTAGTGCTCTCTGGAAGCTCACCATAAGCCTTCAGCAACTGAGCTTCATCTGGCAGGTACATCAGGATTACGTCAGCCTTATCATCCTATTAACCCCGAAGAAGAAAAATAGAGAGATATTCGTTGTCCCACCCTTGACAGCACGATGAGAATGGGATCTGAATTGCTTTCAAATTTGAATTGATTTTGAAGTTAATTAGAATTCTGATTAATTTCAAAAAATAATTTGAATTTGGAGAAGATAAAGAAATTGATAAAGCTTAAATATTCCCACACAAACAAGAATTTATTAATTCCAATTTTCGAACTTAAAATCAAACCTTTTATAGTGGTCAGACGAATCTGGAAGACAACAGGGAGCCTACTTCTATACCATTTTCTCCCTAGACAGATGGTTTAATTATAATTTTCATAATACTAGTAGGTGAATGTTAAATATAAGTTTGTGGTGATTGTTGAATGGACATGCATGACAGTACTTTATAAATTGAAATTGAATAAAGCGCGTACATGCAAGTAGACATAGAAGAGATGCAAGTGTTTGAGAGGAAAGAAATGAGTTTTAGATTTGTGATCGAAGATTTTTTTGTTGTTTAATGAAAGTTTATACGAGTTTTACAAAAAATGAATTTTTATAATACTCACTAGACGAATGTCATGGCCCAACGAGGTGTGATAATTCGAAAAAAACAGTGTGGTGGATCCATTCTGTGAGATACGATATTTTCGACTGCAGCGATAACGAAATATAAAACTCTTAGAAGCAAATGAAATTTTGATTTCCATATTAACTATTGTAAGAATGTAAAATAATATTTTTCGGAGTATTATAGTTTCGTGGGGGGGGGGGGGAGGGAGAGGATGAGAACTCACACAGCTTAATTGATAGTCCTTTTAAAATTGAAAAAGTGGATGAAAAAACAAATATATGTATAGTTTTTTGAAGAACCAAATAGAAAGTGTTACGCCCCTAACTAAACCACTTTGGAAACACTCCCACGTGTCCATCCCCTAGCCAAACCACTTCAGACAATAGTCATGCACACTTCCCAAAGTGACACATGTTTACCCGAAATGGTTCCAAAGTGATGCCCACTCCTGAAGACCTCGACATGGCGCACGGAAAGGTCAAGAGTAGATCCACCGAAGCAACCGAAGTGTCTCTCAACTTCGAAGCGTTGAGCACTCCGAGACACTCCCTAAACAAGTTCCTTCGTCGCCACTGTCAGAGAGATATCTGTCAGGATCCTGTTCACCTCCAAGGATCAATTGATATGACGTCTTCATAGATCAAGTTGATGTGACGTATCGACTTTACATTATCTCAACTCAGAAGAATTAATTGCCCGCCCACTCTAGACGCGGTTGATTGACGCCTATGAGCAGACGCCTAACACCGTCAGATGCATACACGTGTCCCATATCCAACGATGCTCAACGTCTATAAATACCAAAGGTTTGGTAAGAGACAAAAGTAATGAAACTCTTATAACTTAACTCTCCATATTAAGAAATATATATTCTCCTCCCCACTCTCTTGCATACTTGAACACTGTTCCAATCACCCAACCCTGACTTGACCGTCGAAGTGTATGTGGCCGCCACCACCACCACCGCTTCCGGTCGTGTGCTTCTGACCGTGCGTTGTTGTGCGCAGGGACAATTACGTGGAGTAGCTATCCATTGGCCACGTGGAGGGTCTAATTCTCGAGGTCAACAGATTGGCGCCGTCTGTGGGAGAGTTTTCGTCCAAAAGTTCCATATTGTCCACCGAAAAAGCCACCGGCAAACCATCGACTTACCCTGAAAAGGGCACATTCTTGAAAAAGAACAAAGCCAACCTAAAAAGTTCTTAACACCCTTGAAACAGTAAACAAAATGA